AGAGGCAGTGGCTCTAACACATCACTAACCTACTCACTTTTTTTTTTTTTTTTCAGGGATTAGAGCAGGAATTCTTAGGTTTTTGCCTACCAAGCTGCCTCCTTAGATCTTTAAAATAGAGATTGAGCTGCTTGGATTATGAAAGCTGAATTGCAGTGAATATTTTAAAGGATAAGGATGTTCCTGAAGGTGCAGAAGCAGGCAGTCTGCAGCTAGAGACTCAGCAGCTCTTGAAGCTTTTGCCACTGGTTTTCTGTAGAATTGTGTAGTGTGGAGGAGGCTGGGAAAAGGACTGGTGGTGGTTCTTGCTGTTCGGGGGAGGAGGGGTTGATGCTGGTGATGAATTTGTCTTTCCCTGGGAGACCAGCTGACTGACTACACTGAGAGTGGGGACTTCAGTTGTTATGTGCTTAAGGAAAATGGGCACTCTGTCTGTCTGTTGTTTGGGCAATATGCAAATAAAGCCTGTGTTGCCAGGTGGAAAATATGCTCTGCTGATGACTACACTGATGCAGACCTTCCTGTTTCCATTACAATGATGGACTCTTCACTTGCTGAGGTGAGTGCTGGCTCTGATGCCCGAGGTGTGGTTTTGAACAGGCTCAAGCATTTAGTGSCTTACTCAGACCCAGGTCAGCTGTAAATCAGCACTGCTCCAAGGTGGATGGARCTGGTATAAGTCAGCAAGGTGCTGTGGGGGGTATTCCCTTCTATTTGGGCATGTTTCTGCAATACCTTGGTTGAAAATCTAAACATCTTGATGTTCACATGCAGCTGGGTCATGCTTGTGGCTGTGGAGTGCTTGAAATGTGGTTTCAAGGCTTGAGACTGTGCTGCTTCTGTGGTAACAGTTGGTTGTGCCAGGGAAGAACTGAGTGCTTTTGTTCTTTTTATCCACCTGCAAGAAGCCTCAGGATGCTTTAGCTGGGAGCACTGCCTTTGCACTTCTCCCATGGCCACCATGTAAAAGCTGAAAAATGCCATCTTTGCTGTGTGGAAGYTTCCCTTCAGCTGATGTACTCAGCTATCTGTGCCTTCACTGCTSTCCTGAATTCTGCATTTACAGCTTGAGCTGCAGTTTGCTCGTGGCGAGAGCTGCAGCTCAGCACACCGAGTTGTGCCTCARTCCTCACTACTGAAATGTAAACTTCAGCTCCATCACATAGGGCTTCCAAGGAGCTTTATAAACTMCAGTATTGGTGGGGTGATGGAAAAATATTGGTCACTGGTTTCTGTRAAGCTGGAAATAACCTTTGGGATTAAAGGGAAGCCAGCCTCTGAGTGACCCTGGCTGGTGTGTGGTACCTGTGAGAGTAGCGTGCTCTCGTTATAGTGGTAAATCAAAGCAGAAAGAGCAGTGAGGGAAGAAAGTGAGAGTGCTGGGGAATGTCTGTGGTTTCAGCATGCTGCTCACKCAGGGTAGAGCAGGTGAAGACCTCCCAGCTTGTGCTGCTGCTACTTAAGTGACCTTACAGAGGATCATCTTAAGGGTTCTTACTTAATCCAGTCCTTCTGGAAAGTCACAGCTGTGCAAAGGTGTTTGAAACACCTCTGTTTTGTTGCTCTGGAGATTTCCATAATTCCAGCTGGACTTAGAAATATAATTTTTCCTGTGTTACTACCTTTTAGTATAAGCTTTCCACATGAATGTTCYAAAGTGGGAAAATGAAAATGTTAAATCTTGCCCCAGAGAGAAGGCAAAGAGGCTGTGTCCAGAATCTTTTTAAAACTGGCATGCAGGAAAATTTGAACATTCTTGTAAAATAGAAAAAGTCTTCCTAGTTTTCTTTGGAGTTTTATGACTCTGCAGTTGCAGGTGTATTTGAGCAGATTGAGCATGTAACTAACTGAAATTATTTGTGTCACATCATTGTCACCATCCAAGTTTAGGGGCTACTTGGTAAAGGAGCACTTGTGAGAGCCAAGYGAGGCTTGGACTTTTCATACTTGTTTTGATTTGTAAATGTGGAAGTCATACCATAGTCTGAGAACCAAATGAGAGCTCTTCCAAAGGTTAATGATTGTTTGGGAGGAGTTGTACCAGACTGTGGCCAGAATCTGCGTGCTGTGATAGAGAACCCTTGGATAATTGTGCTAATCAGAGGGATGGAGGGGGTAAAAGGGATTAGGGATGTACTGCAGGACCTTCTTTGGTTGTTCTTCCTCATAAAAGGACTGTGCCATTCTCTAATGCCCTTTGCAAACAAATTTTACAGTGAGGGTGGTGAGGCCCTGGCACAGGTTGCCCAGAGAAGCTGTGACTGCCCAGTCTCTGAAAGTGTCCAAGGCCAGGTTGGATGGGGCTCTGAGCAACCTGGGATAGTGGAAGGTGTCCCTGCCCATGGCAGGGGGTGAAACTTTGATCTTTAAGGTCCTTTCCAGCCCAAACCATGGTATGATTCTATTTTATTAAGAAATGGACAATGTGGTATTTCTCTTTTTTTCTTTTTTTTTTTTTTTTTTTTTTTTTCCTTTAAGTGTAATCTGTGGGAGTGTACAGTCCTGATAGTCAGCTTGGAGTTTTTTAAAGCTGAATTGAGTGTTTTCCTTCACTGCAGACAGACACCACTGATCATGTTCCCACCTGGGCAGGGGCAGGTCATGTAGCAAAATGTATCATTTCAGTCAGTTCTTAGTGATGCAAGGGCTTTTCTGTTTTCTATTTGGGGGCTGTGTGTTAGTTTTTTAAAGCCCTTTAGGTTTTTTTTCTTTCCAACACGATGTTATTCTCSTCCCCCAATACTCCTGCTGACCCAATGGCCTGAACAAGGCAAATGCAGTGCTGCACTTCCTCAAGCTTATGAGAGAATTCAAATAATGAAAATAAAAATAGCCTGAATTTGCATTAGAGGAAGCATCCACCTGGCTGGGGCAGGGYTGTGCAAGTGCAGCCCAGCTCTGTCGGGGCAGGCAGTGGGGAGGAGGGAAAAGGCACTTCCYGAGGCTGGGAGCAGTGGGTCACTCTCAGGAGTGACCAGGAGCCTTGAACACCTCCTGTTCTAATTTTCTGGCCTTCCTATGTCCTCGGAGGACATTTGAGAGGGAAGGAAAGATRCAARAACRTAGGCAACCCCTGATACAGTTTTTYTGTTGYTTCTCCTCACACCCTACAGTACTGCTCTCGGGTGTGTGATGTTTAGGGAGCTGTCTGGCCTCATTCCCCCTCTGCTTGGGGAGACAATTGGGTTTGGGGATGTTTTTGTTTTCTATTCAGTTCTTTTCAATAGTGAGTGCAATTCATCACAAGTCATTACCAATTAAGCCTTTAAACCTCAGTTCTCTCCTGTATTTCGATCCATAAAGAGAGACCACCCTAACAACAGAATGAGTGAGCTGSAGCTTTCCAGGGTGAAATGAGGAAGAGGGATAGTGCACATGCAGCACCTCCCTCGATAATAAAAGCCTTAAGAGGATATTGGTTTTGTCTGTGATGTGATAAGACTCCGGTCCAGAACCGCACAGYGGCAGCTAAAGGAACAGGAGCAAAACTTCCAGCCTTTAACTGCTCTTTTCCTTTTTTTGCACACCAAGGAGGAGGCCTAAGGCCCTCTGAAGGGGCAATTGATATTAATAATTTTGTGAAATTGGATCCCTTCAAAGGCAGTCACTAAATTGTACAACACAGMATGCAAATCTTCTGTTCTGAACCATCTGCTTGCTCATGCTGTGACTATTAACACTTTTATTTACCTAATGAGTCTCATCCCTACAGCCAAGTGCAACTCTGTGCACCTCACTGGTAGGGTTTGAGGTCCAGACCTTGAAAATGGATCCATCCTGATGCACAGAGCTAAGATAGAGCAGTGGTGGTTCAGCCACATGTATGTTGGTCACTKCAAATGTGTGTTAGGAGCAAACCACAAGTCAGGAACCAAAACACACCTCTAAGAATGACARTCCTGAGATGAGATAAGACTCCTTCAGAGATGTGGGGATCCCTTCTAAAGGTGGTAACGTGCTAAGCTGCACCCTGTATGGATCAGTGGGTGAATCTGTGCACTTGCCATCTAGTACTTCACAGCTGAAATAATYTAAATTATGGGGAAATTAAAGTCCTGACATGAGAGTTTTATACTGGCAGTTATCACTCTGRTGCTAACTCTTCTCTCTCTGTGAAGGTCGACTGTGGGGAGTCAACACTATCAGCCRCTCTGATCCCATCCAGGTCAGGCCTTGTGCAAGATTTAAAAGCCTTTATCAAGAYTGTAGCATGTGGATGAGTATCTGAAACAGTTTTGTTTTGGCAGTGATCACTTAACGCCAGCCCAAGAAGCTCTTGCATCCTCAGGGGAAAGCACAGCACCCCTCCCGGGTGAGTCCTTARTTTGGGGCACTGACAGTCACGGATGTACGAATCTGTGTTTACTGAGCAATAAAAGCTGTGTTTTTTGCTGTCTGACATTGTAGGCTGCCTTGTAATGGAGGAAAGATCACCCAAGGACTTACAGGAGAGAGAGGAACATGTGCCAACTTCTGCAGCAACGGAGACAAACAGTGACAAGGACCCAGCTGCTCCTGTGCCAGGTACMGTGGCTGCTGCATGGCCCTGCCACTCACCCACTGAGAAAATGGTTCSCTTCCAGCACATCTTTGAAGTGAGGAAGCTGAGCAAGAGCAACTGCTTGAGAATTTCTATTTTAGCAAGTATTTTCACCTGCCAGTGCTGTGGAGCCTCCCTGAAGCTGAGTATGGATAAGGCTTTTTACCTACCTGACCACAGCACTGCAGGCAGGGAGCAGGAAACAGCTTGGTGAGATCTTGAGGCTTGCTCAGCTGGCAAAACATGGAGTGGGCACAGAATCCCAGACAATGCTGAGAGGAGAAAGAAATAATGTTTTAATGGGTTTAAAAAGTTATTTACTTCAACAGTGCCACTAAACACTTCCCTCTCTTTCAAGACTGTTGCACAAGAAGCTGGGATGGCTCAAGAGGAGAGATGAGGGTAAAGGCCGTTTGTGTGTGGTTCTGTCTCTTGCTAGAACCATAAACACCCACCAGATTCCTGCCAGATCTGATGGTGCTTCTTCCACTGAAAAAACATAAAACCAAACCAAAACTGGACTGTGTGTACACACTGTATTTAAGCTATTTTTTCGCAAAACTGATGTGAATAACCAGCACAGAATACCTGTGCATTCTTGTTTGTAATTTTTTTAAAATCTTTACTTAAATATAAGAGTATAGTTTCTTGTTTGGTTTTGTTGCTTTCCTTCCTGAAATCTAATTCAGTCCCCTCATTTRGAAGTATTTTCTTTCTACTAATTTCCCTCTACTGTTAATTTTCATATGTGGTTCAGGTGCTTTTGGTGAAGAGGAAGCAGATAAGCAGAACAGGTCAAAAAGACTCTCAATAGCTTGCAAGTCTGAGAATCTAGCTGCCTAAAGTACATTTCTGAAAAGAAATATTTCTAGTTTTATAGCTGATCAATCTCTCCTTGCAGGCTTCAAACCTGAAGCTGGAGTTATGGTTGGTTTTYGTTTTCTTTTTTGTTTTTTCCTGTGCTATTTCTTGGCTCATACCCGTGTGAGACTACATAAACAGAGGGGAAATCCAAATATTCTAGATGTTCTTAAAGGTATAAATATTAATTATAAACTGGCTATTTAAACAGCAAACAAAACAATAACAAAAAATCTTCCATGCTGGTAGCAAAATAACAAAATCTATTTATATAAGGCAATATTTCTTTAACTCTTGCAACTTCAACTACAGGAAGTATATTATATTTTCAGCTGTAGACATATAACACTTCTTATGGGGATTTTTTTCCAATCATAATTATCACAATTCTTCCTATATRTCTTTACAATGTTCCTTGCTGCTGCCTCTTTTTCCTTAGTGCTCCCTTCTGGTATTTGGTGCAGTTTTTTGGCTCTGTTGGCCCATGGTTAAAACAGTGGGTGTAGAAMGCTTGGTGAGGTTTTTTAGCTGTTACATTTGGATTTGGGAATGWTTCTCTGCAGGACCAAATCAGAACAAGAAAGAATTCTGCTCTGTGATGGAGGAACACAAGTCTGCRTTTCAAAATGTTTTGAAGAAAGACCCGGTAAGAATCCTGGTGATGGTGAAAAGCCAAAGTGGGTTGGATGAGCAGTGACAAAGGAGGGGACAGGCCCCTCCAGGGGTGGTGTGGCTGCTCTCTTGCTGTAACTGCTCTGTTGTGCCTTTAGGAGGTAGACCTGGAAAAGAAAAATGATAAAGAGTGGAGTGAGGAAGCACCAGCTGTGGTTCCCAGTTGGAAAGGTAAGAGGGTTTTGTTGGACTGGAGTACAAGCTGGGCCCAGAGCTGGGCAGAATGGTGTAGAGAGCTCYCTGTCCCATGCCAAATGTGACCATGGCTTTTGTTTTAAGGCTTAGTAGCTGCAATTGGAGATCAGAACAGACAGAGATCAGAGGAGGACATGGGTTGTCATGCAGAATCTCCTGCTCTGATTTCTGCAGATACTCATCTAACCAGCCCCACATTCCTCTAGACAGGAGGGAAATTCTTAGCTGTAAAGGAGTTGGGGTATTTGAAACAGTTCTGGCACCCCTGCTCTCCCCAGAGATTTGTAAAATCTCTCTCTGTGCTATACATGATATTGAGGAGCRGAATGTTTTTCCTCAGATATCTCCACTGGTCTGATCACCTCCCCTTTTGCCTCTGGAGTTCACTAAAAGCTGGTGAGGTAGTAACATAACACCTTGAAGCCAAAACCTGCAATTAACTATTTCTGTGCTAATAAGATGCCAGTTGAAGTCACCTCAACAACTGACTTTTGGGGCTTTGTACAAGTGGCGGTGCTGTGGTGTCTCACAATCAGTGGAACCAGAGGCACATGAGCTRTTTTTAGTACTAGAGCTTAGCACTAGAAATCTTGAACTGTGGCTTCTGTTGAAGTCTGAAAGAGTCATAGGCTGGTTTGGGGAGGCTGTTYTTCACTTTCTTCTGAAAACTTTTTTTTGTTCTCGTCAGGGAGTTCACCCTCTGCAGGTGGCATTAAAGGAGATAAAACCAAGCAAAATGAGYCGTAAGTATTTTGATTTTCAGTGATCACCTGCTGGTATGAATTTAAAGCCACAGTCTGTTCCATGATTGTTTTTCTTCTCCTACAGTGACTCTCCAAATGAGAAGGAGGTGGAGGTATGTCTCAACTGTTTGTATCCTGAAGTATCTCAGACAACAGAGATCTTGCAGATAAATTAATATCTCCTCCTATGGAAAAGAATGATCCTGCTTAAACAGCTTAGTTGTATTTTTTCTGTCTGTTAACTTCTAAAATCTCTCTTTCCAAGTATAATGGAAATTTTTGCAAGAGATGAGGTGGGAAAAGGTGGAGGTCTGTAAAACTGAACAAAGACTTGTCACTACTGTAACATTTGTTTGCAAGCTTAAAGGAGCATAGTTGTGACCTCCTCCCAGGCAGAATGTGCTGATTTAAGACACTTTTGTCAAAAGGCACAGATGGCACAGTGTTCAGCCAGGATGTCACCTCTTCTGTCTGCAGAACATTTCCCCCATCACTACAGATGGGAAGACCTGCTCTAAGGAAATGGGTCATGTTCACTTACTCTTCTATATCTCTCCTAAAGCTGGGGGTTAGAGATATAAGAGAGATATACTTTGTTCATGGGGTTAGTGCCCCAAAAGTCATGCCAGTGTCCCAATCTGCTTAAACTTCTGTATCACATGGTTTACTCTGAAATCTTTTCCTCTCCCACAACAGGCTGAATTTCTGAGGTTGTCTTTAGGTTTTAAGTGTGACTTGTTTACCTTGGACAAGAGAGTGAGGCTCGAAGAGAGGTCCCGAGACTTGGCTGAAGAAAATTTGAAAAAGGAGATTGAAAATGCTGTGAAGATGTTAGAGGTCAGTGTTGGCCAGGGTTGGCAGGGTGGATGGGATGTAGAGGTGTGGGCATGTCTCTTTAAAGGGGGTGTGTGAATGTGGCACAGGATGAGCAAATCTGAATGAAGATTTTGAGTAAAGCAGTTGAAATATGAGAGATTATGAGGGGTAACCTTGATCCAAGTGCATTTTCCTGTTGCACGAACATTTGCCCCCTGTTTCCACTGATTTTATGCTCCAATCTCTGCCCACTGGAGTTCTCTATCCAAATTACACCAATTGAGGATGTTGATGTGGCCCTGAACACAACTCCTCAGTGTCATCAGCTCAAGCCTTCCTTCTCTATTAATAATTCACACCACTTTTCTTAMCAATGTGTCTCTTAGGCATTAGCTCCTTTGTGTGAAGAAGATAACCAAGCACAGGAGATCATTAAGAAGCTGCAGAAAAGTCTGCAGTTCCTCAGTCAATATGCAGCCCGAGTCGCCAGCAGAGCAGAGATGTTGGGAGCTATTAATCAGGTAACACTTTCCATCTAAAAATACTTTAGTTAAAGTCTTCTAGGTACAAAGGGATAGCCACATCTGTTTGCTGGGATTTGGGRATCTGGTGTAGGCTGGCCAGTACAGCTTAGTCCTGGCTATTTCTTTTCTCTCAGKGTTGTTATGAGCAGTCCCAGACACTGAGAGCAGCTATGCTGTGCTAGAAATGTGCAAAAATCTACAACAGAATTAAGGCTGTGGTTGAAAAAAAACTAAACAAAGTTCTTAGCAGGAGTAGGATGTACACMGCAGCAAGCTCAAGAAAGCAGTGTGGTAACAACAGCCTTGATGCTGCAAAGGTGTTTCCTCTGGGAACCAGAAAGGGCAGCTAATAAATGAAATCTATGAAAAATTACAAAGCCCCACTCAAATGTTAGGTGTAGTTATGTAAAATACCCTAGAGCAACATAAAGCATGACTTGGCACTATCAGCAGATGTGTGGTGGCAGCTGAGACTGTAGATCAGAGAAGATGATGATGATGAGTTGTAAGGGCTTGGAAAAGTGAAAACTGTTTGGTTTTTTTTATTCTACAAGTGKGGTGCCTGGAGAAATGGAAACTGTGTATGTGTTGGGACATGGGTTGCAGTGAAGCTTTGAAAGGGAGGACAGAATTGAGAGGGTTTTGTGCCATGGTGACACCAAAGGAGAGCAGATGATTGATGAGGAAATCTCCACACATGAGGCAGTTGCTCAGAGCTGCTGCTTTTCCCTGCTCCCTCAGGAGAGCCGGGTGAGCAAGGCAGTGGAGGTGATGATCCAGCACGTGGAAAACCTGAAGCGCATGTACGCCAAAGAGCACGCCGAGCTCGAGGAGCTCAAACAGCTCCTGCTCCAGAACGAGCGCTCCTTCAGCTCCCTTGGAGACAGAGGTAACCAGGAAAAGCCTYTTTCCCCTTTCTAGCACCACCAGCACCCTTTTAGGTGCAGAACAGTCATAGAATCCCTCAGCTTTTTAGCTGGTAGGATTATAGAGTTGTTTTATCCCCTCTCCTAAAAATGGGAAGAAATAGCATTTTATTAGCAGTATTAAAAGCAGCTCTCTGAAATTCAACTTGTACTTAAACTGTCATGGATTGGGGAGTGTGTGGGACCATTGCAAGTACACAGGACTGTTCTGGCTTTCAGGAAAGTGCATGGCATGTGTTRGTGATAATCTTATTCCTTGTGAGCAGTAAATTTGGGTGCTGGTTCACACTGAAGTGTAGCTATTCTAGGTAGCTGAGCTGTGGCTGCTCTCTATAGAGGCACCCTGCCCTTTCCTAAATGGCAATTACAGACCCCTTCAGTGAAGGGGACCTGTTTCCCTCTCTGAGCACCAGGTGTGCAGCCACTGCTGTGCACTTGTGGCTTTGCCAGAGAAGTATTCAATTCTTCTGAAAAATAGGATGTGTCTTTTAAAAACCAAAAGGGAAGTCTGACACACCAGAAAATCCTTGCAGGAGCCTTTTGAATCACAGGCCTSACTGTGGAAGACATACCTGTAACAGGACACTGCCTTTGATGACAGTGACAGAAATTGATTCTTGCAGAGGATGGGTAATGTGTGAATATCATKAACTTATTTAATGAAGTAGAAAGCTTTTTCCGGATATCTAATTTCTGCTTTCTGAGAGTTCTCTTTGCTTAAACACTCCAGTAAGTCAGACCTTAAGCTTCAAATTAAACTCACTGCATTCTTGCAAGAAACAAACTCCTCCTGTAGGGCTGTAATGTTTGATCTTTTCACAGATGAATCTACAAATAAGAAGCTACCAAGTCCTTTTAACTTTAAGGTAATGGCCCTCACATGCAATTTCCTTTTGTTTTTTTTTTTTTTTTCTTAAAGTGTGTGTGTGGTTTTGCTTTGTCATGTGCTGGTGCTCTGCTTCATGTTTGACTTGGTGCTTTTCTGTCACAAATATGGGTTGATGTCATCAAACTTGTGGATCTAATTTGCAGTCACCCCACCAACCTTCTAAGTTGTGCCCCTTAGAAGATGAAGCACTCACAGAAGCTGAAATGGTTGGGCTTTCACTCACTGGCCATGAAATAATTGTTCATATGTGACTCTCTTGGTGTTAAAGGAAGGTTTAGCACAGAAATATGAGAAAAATAGATGGGAGCAGTTCAAACTGAGTGTAGGGAATTCCTGTGAGCAAGATTAGGGGCATTTAGATACATTCAGTTCTGGTATTTTGCTGGAAGCTGTGCAGCCAGCYTCACTCAGGTGGGCAGAAAACATTTACTGTGAAAAGATGTTGCTTTCAAATTGTGATTTGATCTGTGCTTGAGATTGGATTCTTTGTGTGTCACTTCAAGTTAAGTATCAACATCTATTTTCCTCATAGAGTTTGTGTAAAAGCAGATGGTATTTTGTGTGCCYAGTGGGTAATGCAGTTGTGCCTTGCTAAGAGCCAGTAATGCCTCTTATTTGTATAGCCCTCGTCAGCCCTGCGGAGAGTTAGCATTGCAACAGTGCCCAGGAGCGCTGGGAATGCAGGGATTGGGTTGCCACTGGTAAGTAGGGGCTTCTGGAGGAATGCTGWGGTGCTTCAGCTCCTCAAAACTGGCTGGGATGTAGGATCATAATGCCAGTGCATTCAATGGGACAAATTTCTCCTCCAGGCCCAGTTCCACGACCCTGATGGAGACGAACGGAGTGACAGATTCAGCAGGAGATCGAGCAGTTGGTAAAGTTACTTGGGCATGTCTTTACATAGGGGGAAATACTTTTCAACTCTGACTGTAGCTGATGGAGCATCTTGAGGTATAATGTTTAGGCTGTACCTTTTGCATTATCTTTATCTGCTATAATAGGTAAATGAGCCTCATGAGCTCTCCTTTTTTCATTTATTAGGCATTGAGAGCTTTTAAAAAAATCCCTCAACTTTCTTGCTTTAGAACTGAAATGTGAAATCTAAGTACCTACTGCTGATGTAGTTTTGTTTGGTTTCATTTGGGTTTCTTTCAATAATGCTAATTTCAAGCAACGAATTTGGAAGATATTTATTTGTCTGAGGTCAATGAAATGAGTAGGCTGCTGCTAAATTTCTGATTTCCTGTTCTGTATCTACTGGGGAAATTCAGACAAACTTAATACATGTTTAACACATGGCAGGGGCAGGCTAGGAGTGAAGCAGAATGAGAAGCGTCCTTCGCTGCAGAGGTTCCTCAGCACCTATTCCTGGGCRGAGTATGAAGAGGAGCATTTTGAAACCAAGTAAGTTCAACAGAACCTCTTCCCAGGTGTGTGTTGGTTTACTTTTAATGAGCTTTTAATTCACCACCTGGTCAGGGCTATAAAGTCAAGGCGCTGTGAATTTGGCCAACTTTGGAACTGTTGATTCTTACTGACAGAAACGAGCAGTCGGAATCGCCTGCAGAAGTACAGGAACAACCAGCCAGGAAGGARAGTGTCTCTGAAAAAGGCAAATATCCAACCAAATGGACCCTGGAGTCAGTGTAAGTTTTCTCACAAGCTCCTGAGTTAAAGACCTGTTTGGGAGGTGCAGGGGGAAGAGGGAGCAAGACTGGAGCTGAGGTTGGATTAGTAATGTTGTGAATGAGGAATCACTGTGCCAGGGCCTTGMCTATCCAGGAATTCATTCCTAATCCTAAATGGTGAGGGAAAGGAGCCTCATGCTATGATCTGACCTCTTTTGGGTACTTGGGAAGAGCTGTTGCAGCTCAGCTGCTYGGTCATGCTAATGTGTAATCCTGTAAAAATGATTGAGGATTGTTCTGGCAAAACTCAGCAGCAGCTTTGGCTGCTGAGACAAAAGTGGTTATCCAGACTATCCCAGCTCCTGCCTCTGAATCTATCCAGTGAGTGAGAGTGCTGCCCTACACCTTGGAAGCTCCTGACTTGCAGGAAAGGAGGCCTGTTATCAGTTTATTCCATATGAACTTAAATGTTTAACCTCACCTGGGAGCACTCCTGGTTGTGGGGGAGCTGTGCCAGTGTGAGAAACTGAGAAACAGCAAAACAACTTTTTCTATTTTTTTCATAAAGAATGGAGGTACCCAGTGTCATGAGAGGTCTGGGATTGGATAGTCAGGAAGGCTAAGACTTCTCCATAAACTCAAGGAAGCCACCCAAAGTCCTAGACTCAAACAATAAGCCTCAAATTTAGCTCTAAACAGTAAGACAGAAGGCCAGGACTTTCAGTGCTTTCTACAAGCAAGATTTCTTGATGATCTTGCAAGGCAGGTATTGTGACTGCTCTTCAGAAGCAGTTTGAGGTATGGGGAGCACGGGTGGACCGGTGAGCTGCATCAGCTTATCAAGAACTTGCTGTTTTGGCTGCATTTTAAACCCAGAACAGAAGCTCTCACTGCACAGCTCCCAATACTGTAGCAACCTGTCACTTTTGATTAAAATCCCAATGTCTGTGGGATCTGGTTTGCTTTAAGGCTTTTTGGGGTGAGGTGGGAAGAGTTGCATGTTTTGAAGAARCACTGAAGGGCTCTGTTCCTTCCTGTTCTGCCCAGGTACAATTTGATGTCAGCGTGGGCATCCCACTTCAAGGATTCCTTTTCCAATGCCAACAAAACCCTCTGGGTGTCCGTGTCCATCCTGGTCCTGCTGGCTGCTCTCACGAGCTTCCTCACGGGGCTGTCCCTGCAAAGACCAGCAGATGCAGCCCCTGTAGGCACTGGGGACTCCTGGACATCCTTACAGCAGCTGCTGTGGCCCTACACAGGACTGCAACACAATGGCCCTCCCCCGGTATAACCAAGGCTCTGCCTGCTGCAGTTGCACTGCCAAGCTCGCTGGAGGACAGGAGGTGAAGCTGAGCTTTATTTAAGGTTACACATTTGGATTTGTTTTGTTGGGTTGTGGGTATTTTTTTGGGGGGGAGATGAATTTTTTTCTTTAAAGCATGACTTGAAAATATATATATTTTTTCCCATTCTGATAGAAGTMATCTTTAAAAGTAGCTAAAAGGGTCTCAGTTCTGTCGAGGTTTACAATAGAACAGCAATTTTGAACGTAGGTAACAAAATAAACATATGTAGGTGGTCTAGCCACAAGAGAATAAAGAATTTATTTTGCTTGAACAAAGATAAAAGGTTTGCATTTTAGATCCTGTTTCAGTRATTTGAATAAAAAAGGATTTAAGACTTGAAATGTAACTTTATTGAAAGCTTTTGATAATAAAGTTTTAAAGGAAAGCATACAGTATCTAAGTATATGTTAAAACTCTTGTAGCAAGGAGCAGCTGATAGACAGAATCAATAAACAGGAAGCCAGCTCCTTCCACTTTATCCATTGCTTCTTTGCTGGCACAATCCTTGAACATATGGTAGAGTGTGGAGTGAAATTCAGACTCTTCTTCCATCTCTTCYGAAAAAGCTTCACTGGTTTCAGTGAGCTTGAGCTTTTGTGCTCTCTCACCATTAAACATATAAAGAGACCAGTCTTTGACAGAATCTGCTTCAAGATGTTCACTTACCTATTGCAGGAAAAAATGCACTGTAAGGGGGAAGCCTGTTCCACTGAGAGAGTACAAATTCTAGCATGAAATGTTAAATTCTGTATGCYTGTGAGTATCATAGAGAAACAAACCATGGTATGCTTTGAGCCCCTAAAAGCACAACATCTGTGTGCCTAAGAGACTGTGTAGCACCTGCTGTAGCAACACCAAACTCTTCCCTCGAGTTTGCCTCTGTAAAATGCAAGGTTTGGCAGTCCAGCTGCTGCTCTTGACTCCTGCAGGGAGAGTAATGGCTATGTGCAAAAGACATCATTTATTTTGGTTTTTATTCCCGAGACCAAGCTAGGCTAAAGATTTGTGTATCATGCATTTAACTTGAGAAGAAGAAAACTACTCTTGATTTCAGCAGTGAGGTTTGTTATCTAGCTCCAGCCTCARTTGGGACTGTTTGTCTGTCTAGGACAAGTTTTAACCCCGTGTTTCAGTTCACAGGTGGAAACAAATCAACATTGAAATTTCTTACTCCTGCCTTTGCAGGAGGGAGCAAAATAAACCCTGCAGACAAGAAGAAACTTCCATCTCTGCATCAAAAAACTGGCAGAGCAGATTGCTGATTTTAAAGGGGCCTCTGAAGAGCTTGAAGCTCTATCACCTCAGCTCTGGCTAAAGCCTCTCCTGGTGCTTTATGAGTTCCATTTCCCTCCACTTTAGCAAGTGTCTTTGTTGCTGAGACTTGTGTCCTCTGATCGCTCTGTCACGTGAAATCTGTGATGTTTCACTGGCACACTCAGAACTCAGGCAGGGGCTGAAGCTGTGGGTGAGTTAACTGCTCTGACTGTGTAGGGTTTTGGGCTGGTTTGCCCTGCAAGTTCAGTGTGACTCCACAAACCTTGAACACGACTTGCTCTGGCCCTACTTCTCCATTCCACTTGCTGTGAGCAAAAGCAAAAGCAGCTGCAAGCAGAGCCATCTGCTCATAGACCTTCACTTCTAGCAGGGCCGCCTGCAATGCAAAAGTACTAATTAGACAAAATAGATCCCATTCTATTTCCCTGGGTTATGGCAATAATAAAAGCTTGCTTTATACAGAGTACCCTGGCTCAGCTGCAGCACACAAATGTCACAGCAGGTCACAGTGCAAGAAAGGGTTACCTGAGTGAAAAACAGGGCGAAAAAACAAAAGGAAACTCTCTTGCACTCACCTTCCCGGGCACAGGAACATACTCGTGAGTGTACTCTGCTGGGAAAATGTTCACACCAGCTCTTTTCAAAGCTTGTCTGAGGGCAATTGGCTTCATCCATTTBCCTGTGATGTGGGAAAGCACCTCCGCCTCTTCCACCACTACTGAAGACAACATACACTGATTATCCTGTTGTACAAACCAGTGAAAACAACTTACTGGTCATGGAAGCTATTTTCTGTTTTATGCTTCAAATATTAATACCTTTGCTATGCTGGGTATTATCTACATCATCTGCTACTCTGGGCTTTGAACTTTTATTTACAGATMCTGAAGAAAGTCATTTTTGTGTAGGAATTCAGAAATGACAGTGGAATACTGATTAATACAGCAAGAAACAGATGGATAATCAGGTGTAGCTTGAACTTTCAGAAGAAACGAGGASCATTAGTAGTAGGCTGCTAGAAATGCTTTTATTTCTCTTGCTCAAAGTGGAAGGAGAGAGGGACAATTTTCAAGTTTCTAACTGGTGGAACAGGCTTGAATGCAGCAAGGCAGCAGCAAYAGCAAAGCACTGACTGAAACTTTTCAGAGCAAACCGATGCTTTCTCAGAAAATAACTGAAATTAAATAATTGGTACAGTGCTTGGAAAGGAAGAGTGAGAGATTCAAATTGCTCTTGTGGAAGCATCCCAAATACTTAATCGGGGTACTGTAATAATTATGGGGTTTTTTTAACTGCAAATTTTTGATAAAAAAATTATTTACGGTACCTTAATTTGTATCTGCATGGTTGCAAAGACTGCAGTAAGGGTGAAGAGTCCTTCATTCACACCAGTAGGATGCAATTCCCAGGCCTGAAAGGGCAGGTTGAGGTGAGCATCCTGGAGAAGAGCTACTGTATAAAAGGCACTCATTGTAAAGCTGATGCTCTTTTCTTCTGCTTCATATGTTATGTTCCTGATGCCATCAGTTCTCCACTGCCGGCCTGGATAAAAAGGATGCAAAAATATAAAGTTTCACATGGAAGGCTTCAGCCAGTAATACTGAAGACAAATAAAACCAAAACAGTAATAATAAAAAATAAATTAAAAATACCCAAATCAATTAACATTGTAGTCCCCAAATTRTTTTTGGACTCCAAACTGGCCCTTATCTTTACAGCTGTATTTTGAGAATAGTTCACCTCAGGTATAAATTCCACTATACAAACTTAAAATAAATTTATATCCTAAGTTGGTACCTGCAGGATTCCATCGGGCTACTATGGGTGCTTGAAAATAAATTACATTGTCAGGAAGCCGCAGGGTAATCTGTACTATATCTTCAGCCTCTCCTGAGGAATATGGATACACTTCCAATCCAACATCCAGTAACTGTGGCAAGAGAGGAAAAGGACAGGGGGTTTAGCAGAAAATGCAGCTTTATTTCTTTGAGTTCATCTAAGCACTGCAAAGATAACATGCTATTTAAAATGGTTTGCTAATATTGCACATTTCCACAGCTTTGAAGGCTGCAGAAGAGTAGCTACCAAGAGGCCTTTGAACCCTCCATGTGCTGCTGCAGGCACGCTCGAGGCAGTGCCACACAGTGGGCACAGCCATTTTTAACAGGTCCCCAGCCTCAAAAAGCCAGGGGCACCCAGAGAGGCAAGAGCAGGTATAATTCCACTCTGTCCCCATACTGTCAAAGGGAAGGAGAGTCTGGGAATAAAGAACCTGTGGCTCTTGCCCTGCCCACAGTCCTGCTTTCTCAGTTTGGCTGGGAATTTTGCTTATTAAAGGTTACCAGCTTCATAGTGAAATCTGTGGTGTAGATCAGCATTGCAGCAGAAAACTAGAACATAGTGATGACAGTCCTCAGCTATCCTGAAGAGCCTGGAGCTCAACCAGCAGTGATTTTTGTTACCACCTTGCTTTTACATGTACCTTTCAGAGACTAAAAACTAAGAACTGCTGTCTATGCTTTCGCTTTTAGCAAGAGTGTTTTCCAGCACCCTGATCTGTGGCAGTCATGGTGGTGAGCAGTGACTGATCACACATTCCTCAAAATGCTGGCCAAGGTCACACTGAAAATGATCTGCAAACCTTGCCTCATTAGTGTGCTGCTAAAGAAATCATGTCCCGTGCATGTGACAGCAGTGCCACAGCTGAGGAGCAGCTCTTGAGGGAGGACAGGGACTCACAGGGTCATGCCCTTCCTCACTCACCTCCACTATCCTCCAGTCCTTGATGTCCTGGGGCTGAGGGGGCAGCTGCAGAGCATCAATGTGGTACACACCCCCTACAGGCACCAGCTGCTGCAAATCAACAATTTGTGGTGCCTCTTCTTTGACTGTTGGCTCTTCCTGAAGCACTGCACCCTCTTCTAAAAAATTCACCAGACAGAAGGAGTTAACTTGGTGCTCAAACTCACCAACATTTTCCACCTCTCAATTTTTGCTCGTCTATCTCTGTGGTGGTAGTGCTTCACACTCTGCAGCATTTCAGCCCCATCTACTGGTGTTCTTCCAAACTTTTAACAATCACTGAAATGCAGGGAAAGGCAGAGAGCACTTTGTGATTTGGATTTGTAGCCAGTTAAAATTGCTTTCTATAGGAATAAGGTTTTACTGACAAAATGAGTGCCACCATTATCCACAGAAGAATTTCACAAGCACATGATACAGTAGATTCTAGACAGGTTTACTAGGATCATATTGATATGAAAAGAAATGAAGCAAATAAAATCCAAATATACAAAAATAAGGCACCAAAAGGTCATGTGCTGAAGGTGAAAGATATGATACTTTTGAAGAACAAGAGGGATATAACATGAAAAACAATTTTCAGGTAACAAAGATAATTCTATCTTTCCTATATATAATTACGTATACATCACATAAAGGTAGGAATTTAAGGTTTAATTAAATTGGAAAATGTAATTAAAAGGCATAAAGGCTGTGGATGAAAATGGCCATAAATATTTTCTTTAAAAAAAACAAACCAGCCCACATACAACATCACAGGAGGAGAGCACTTAATGTTGACAGAAATCAAGAAAAAATATTCCATGCTCTAAAAAGTTACTGTAATTAAGAAATTTGCTTTGAGACAGTGAGACCATATAAAAAAATGACAATTATCTCTAGAAATTGTCTTCAAGCTTTTTTAAATAAAGCAAAAATGGTGTTCATTTTATGTCAGATTTAGTTACATGATGCAGAGGTTTTACTCCACTGTATTCGCACACCATCATAATGTCCTTTTGCAGTTATTCTGAACTATAAACTTACAAGAAATAAAAAACATTTTACTACCAGCCACAGTGGTAGCTTACAACTTAACTTTTAAAAATAATAATACAAAAATATATGTGTCTTCTAAACAAACTATTCRTTGTCCCAAGCTAATTTATCTCTTTAACAATACTACAAGAAGAGTAAATCCAGAGAAATTATCACACACCTCTGTTGTTGCGTTCTTGGTTTTTAACCCTCATTTATGTGGCTCCCTGTTTTGAATTTGTGGTGACTGAGCATCCTTTCAGTGCTATTCTCCAAAGTGATTGAAAACCATGAGCATTCCAGAAAAARCAGTTTCCTAACCCTTCTTTCTTTAGCAAAACGTGAATAAGCTGGAAAAGGTCCAGGTGTTATTGGTATCTGTGCACATCCACTTCACCTTATACTGTGGTAGGGGTTTGCAAAGCCTGACAGAAATAAAATACAAATTCTTCCACATGAGGCCCAAGTCCTTTATATTCTCTTGGAAAATTTATSTTTAGGGTCTAGTCTGAAAACTGGTTCCTTGGACTGTGCTCAGTCCAAAGCATTTTGGGCTGGGGGTTTGGTTTGTCAAGTGGATTTAAATTATGCTAATAGTTGTTTGCAGTTGTTTTACTAAAGACTGTACTACAAGAAAACTCACTCTTATTAAACCAAAGGACAACACCACACTCCTAGACAAATTTATTACTTATGTGGGAAGATAAACAGTTTTATTTCCTATAATCAGGCCTTCTTTTAACAAGGTGTAAGAGAAKGTATCTCACTTTAAGCACCCATTCAGGGACTGCTCAATAACACCCCACACTACACTAATGCCTACCATGATATGCATTTGCATAATTTTTTTCTGAGGAAGAAAACCTCAACAGAGTCTGGCAGATTCATAGATTGTTTCACACTCATAAATATATGCATAAGAACACACATATCTATATAAACATGATAAGCATGTACCTGAACATAAGTATAAATAATAAATAACTTTGGGAACAAACTCCATTTTCTTATCTGCCCTGTTATCTGCTCACATTTAACAAACATTAACAGAAATGCCAACAAAACTCCAATGTTATCAAAACATCCCTATGTTTATAAACTTTGTTCCATTCACATAGAGATACTGCAATGTTTCCATAGATCACAGAATGGCCTGGGTTGGAAGGGACCRTGAAGTCCAGTTGCACCCCCTGCCATGGGYACAGACAYCTTCCRCTATCCCAGGTCAGAGCCCCATCCAGCCCAGCCTTGGACATTTCCAGGGATGGGGCAGCCACAGCTTCTCTGGGCAACCTGTGCCAGGACCTCAGCACCCTCACAGGGAGCAATTTTTTTAATATATAAAATACTTAGCATAGGTACTGCACATAAAAAATAACCAAATACCTTGTAATGGCATGTCCACGGTTTCTGCTTCCTTCTCAGCTTCCTCCTGTGTCTCTTTTACATCATTTTTGTTATCACCATTTTCTTTCCCTGAGGCATCACTCTCCTAGATAAAAAGAAGACATTTTTCCATTAGACATAGACAAACACCATAAAGAAGAAAGTATCACCTCCTTCAAGGAGGCCCAAAGAGAAGGGATACAGAAACATTTGTACCAATCTTGCTAMAGGGTCAAGGGTTTAAGAGAAATCATTTCTACCTAGCTAGCAAAAAGTTTTGATTAAAAATACTCTCTAATTTGGAACTGGATATATAAATAGGGACAAAATAATTACTTAAGYTCCACAGCAAATTCCATTTTGAGCTCTCTGAGTACCATACAAGCTCTTCAMACCATTTTAGCAGTGTGTGCACTCAAAAGTTGTGGTTTTGCTGATTTTACAGCCAGCAGAGTGGCACAAAGAAAATGCAAGTCAAGGCTGAATCCAAAATCATATTGAAACTGTACCAGAACCCAACCTGCAGTTTTAGCCTGTGCCTAGCCAATTATATTTATTCCCTTTCACGCACTGTGTGTTTACACACAAGAACACTGGGGAACTCAAGGCACAGCCAGACAGAAGGATGCTGAGAAATATTACCCTGGGTTTCCAGCCAAATTTCCAACCCAGACAGGGATTCATCCTTGTCACAGCAGACTCCTTTGGAGATACAACACCTTTTGTGCCCTGGGTGTACCTGCCAGCATGTGGGAAGAACACACATCTCCTCAAACAGGACAGGAGGTGAGAGGACAGAAACTGAGAGAAACGGAAACTTCAGAGGGAAGAGGAAAATTCACAAAATGGGTGGTGAGAAAGAGTACAAGACCTGGAAAGAAGAAGAGAAGGAAAAAAATGAAGGAGCCTATAGTCTGAGAAATGTAGGTGAAAAGGGCCAAAAGACAGGATTTATCATACAAAAAAAAAAGAAAAAAATGAACCAAGGAAAGTAGGATTTCAAGCACTGATTCATTACAAAGGTGCTGGGGACTGAAAAGGAGAAAAGCCAAGATCATGAACAGGGGTTTGATCCCCATTTGATCCCTGTACGGATCCCACACTTAAGAGTTGGATCAATGATCCTTGTGGGTCCCTTCCCACTCTGCAAAATCACTCCAAACATACTAAGAAGGCCTAAACCAYGATGTTATGTCTATTATTTCTGCAGAAATTTTAAATAGGGAATATAAGTCATGTACCTGAAGGTTGCAGGTGATACTGAAAGTGAAAACCCCAAACCCAGTATGAAGAATACAAAACCAAGCAACATCCATCATACCTAAAGCCAACATATGGAAGAGAGYTGAGAAGAGGACAGGCAGCCACAAATAGTACTTGAAAAGTCCTCTAACAGCAAGGGGTCAGCACACAGACATGGAGGAGCCAGGTACCTGTACAGCCAACATCTGCTGAACTCTGAGTCTTACGCTGTGTGCTGCAAAATGTCCCAAAATTGGATTCCTGCTGGGATTCTGTGGGRCTGACAGTTTCCCAGAAGCAGAATCCATTCATCTGTACATATATCAGAGATTTATACAAATACCTTGCAATGACACCTCATGCTGCCTTCCCTCCTCATGGCTTAATCCTATTCTTAAACCAATAACCAAATGCCAACTGCACTGCAACTGTGCAAACCTCCCTTTCTACCTTCCATCTTTCCATTCCCTTCAGAAGATCTACTATTGACACAAGTGGTGYCTTCCTACAAAACATTTGAGGATTTGGCTGTCATGCACAGGACACTGTGACTGGGCCTCGAGTTAACAAGAGCAATGTAGGATGTCCTTTGWGGTTTTTCTACTACCTTTCTCTCCTCAGGAGAGATTTCTTCAGCAGCAGGCTCACTGGTCTCTTCCCCACCTTTCTTCTCCTCTTCTGGTTTCTGCACATTGTCTTCTGGAGGCTCAGCTGACTCACCGGTGTCTGGGGCTTCCYGCCTTGGCAGCCCTTGGCACTGCAGCCACAGGGGACACACGTGGTCATAGAGGGTGTGCATCATACGAACGGCGATACTGCTCAGGGCCAGGGACGTGGGCAGGTCAAAGCCAAGCCCTGTCTCCTGGAACTCGTGCTTTTTCAACCTGGGAATGGCAGTGACAACAACAACAACAGGCACCGGTAAGATTGGCAGCACTTCCTTTGAGGTTTCCTCATAAAACTGACTCATTTAAAGGGAAAATCCCTGTACAGCATTAAATCTCTCTCAGCACCTTTCAAAATCACTCAAATACTACTYATTTTTGGAGAAGATAAGCTGGTCACAAGTTCTAAAAATCTTCTAGTAAAGCAACACTTGTTTTTTTAATTGTTGGTTGACTATTTTAAGGGCATCTCTGTGCTGACCAAAAGTCTTTTAACACTTAAACCATATGGACTCTTCCTGCAGGTCAGTCTTACATTGCTCAGTACCCACCCTTCTACTTTATCTTACCAAAACTCACAGCAACACATCTTTAGTCAAGCTAAAATCCTTTTTATAATCTATTCCTTACATTTGTGGAGTGGGACTAGGGAGTCTGCTCAAAGTTTAATTTTGAAAATATCTCATTTAAAWAATAATTAATGAAACCACAAAACTTAAATTCAGAACCCACTGCAGAGGGTATTTGCATCCCAGGTTTTAGAATCTTTTATCTAACAGAAAACTGAGCACAAAGCACATCATTCACTGCTTTGCAACCAATTGTTACAGATTAGAAAATTTTAAATACATCAGCAAGAAACACTGCTTCCAGAGAAATTTCAATTCTCTATGTGAGCTTTACGGTTTTTTTTCCAAATTTGTTTTGGCAGTGACAGAGCTCTGCTGTAGCTTTTTTAGAAAGAAATTTATATATCTATAAAGCACTCCTTAGCAACAGCCAGCACTGCGAGTCTGCAGAATGAATGCTATGCAACAAAAAAGAGATGATGAGAAATTGATTCTTGGTGTTTACTCACCAAGGCCAAGCCTCATTTCAAAATAATAATTTCAATGTGCTGTACCTTGCTTTCTTCTTCAGATTGACCCAAATACAGAAGGTAGTATTTTTATCCTTCACAACTGTGTGCATATTCCCAGTTGCAGGATCTTCATGCATACTAGCTGTCTACAAAGAAAAAAAGTTAATTAAGTCATGTGTTTTACCTATTTCACTTTGATTTATCCACATTTACTTAAATACATTTAAAAAAAAACAAACATGTAAGAATGAAAATATCCCAGAACAAGCCCAGTTGTGTTGTAGTTACGTACTWAAGCACAACAGTTATAAACTCATATCTCTTTGGTAAAATTTGAACTACATTTCCTTTCTCCCTCTGACTTCATAAATTCTGTCAGCCAAGTACTGCCAAATATGGGTTCCTCCATTATTATCCTAATTCTCAGGATAAATTGTAACAAGCAAACAAAAAAAGAAAGGATTTACTGAGCAATAATGGAATCATATCCCAGAGTCACTGCACAGATTATTTCATAATTTAGTCAACATCAAACTTGTGAAATGGTAATATTGGGAGTTGAATCCCAATTTAAGTAAACAATCAAGAATTTAACATTTCTTTAAGTAAAAAATCAAGAATTTAACATTTCTTAATGTGAGCACACACAACTGGTTCTCTATTTCACTAATACTCCTTTGCTAAACAGCCTTGCAAAAATTATTAATATTCTTGAAATAGCAAGATCCCAACCTATACACGCAGAAAGCTGACTCARTCACATTTTCATATTCTTGTTTGAGTATTTTTCACTCGTTCCAAGATCGTAATTTAAAAACTAATCACATGAATTCATATTAACAATGTGTAAAAGGCAACCTTAAGAGCTGCTTTTCACATGTGTATTTTTTTGTACAGTTAACTAATTTAAATCACTGTGACAAAGCAGAAAAAAAATTTCATACAGCACCTCTTATTTTCGTCATCTCCAAATCTCACACAATTTCCCAATMATTTAATCTCAGCTGACCTCATGATGAGAATTGCCACTGCAAARTCCAGGTTTTCAGGAGTTTTGAACAATTACAAGGCTGGTCTGTGCTATAAGCATGATTGGGAAACTCACAGACTCATCTCCGTGACAGTTTAAGACCAAACAAAGCCAACCCTCATYAAAAGACACTTGGAGATAGCCTCATGTGCACATATCATAACTTTGAAGCAGTGAACCTTACTCACTTTGAGCAGGTTCAGTGTAGCCTCATTGTATCGCTGATGAAGCAGATCCTGCAATTCCAGAATAGATTCCAGGTACTGATCTYGTTGACTTTCTGTGATCTCATTTGGTGCTGCCTCCAATAAAAGAAACTCCAACTCCTCAATTAACTAGAAGACAKTGGATATGGGAAAGTATCTGTTTTGATAGCATCCTGAATATATTGTGTATTCTGTTATTAAAAAATGAGGCAAACCTGCWTCCTTTCTAGCTAAACAGATCTTCATAACAAAAATAACCTTTTTTAATGTCTTGATAGGAAATAGGAAATCTAACTCAAAACCAAACAAGCCCAATGAAACCTGTATTACACATGCAACTTTCCCTCCAGCTCCAATTTCTAGAAGACTCCATTTAACTTTCTGAAAAACACTATCAAGTCATCATAAATGAAAATAAAATCATAAATTTAAAGAGCAAGCACAGATTGCTTAGAATTGCATCACAAGCCACTGATGGTTGATGATTCCTGCAGATAAACATCAGTTTTGGGAACTCCTGCTCTTACATTACACTTTACTGGCTCTAGTGTCACAAAATGAGGCTGTTGCTCACCAAAACATTTTTATCTGACATGATAAGTTATATATAGRTTTTATCTGACATTATAAGTTCTGGCTCAAGATGGTTTAAAATGGAAGGGAATATGGGTATTGGAACTAGACCTCAGTGTAGAAACACAGCACACAGATCCCTAAATGCATGTTTAAAATCAATACAAATCATCTTTAGGGTTAACAATAAATCTGTAATTTAAAAAAATATAAAAATTGAAGAAAAACTTATGGTGTTGAAAGTTACAGCAAATTTCAGTCATCTGGCCACAGGAAAAAAGGGAAAAGAGAATTAGAGGGGGCTGTTAAAGTTATGTTGTGTTAAACTTAAACTGAAACGCACTATTTTAACACTTACATTTAACACCACTTCCTCCTTCTGCATCACAAGCTGAACAGCCTCATCTTGCTCTTCACGCCACAAGCTCATGAAAGTGTTAATTTCCTGGGGTATAGTGGGGTCAGGAGTCCCATCACACCTGAGGTAATGCTCCCACTACAGAAGAGTTCAGAGAACAGTGGATACAGGTGTGCTGCAAATTGCTATTTCAAGAAAAAGGAGGATTCTGAAAGACATTCATCATAGCGATAAATTCACACCTGCATCTAAACAGGACTCTAACATCACCTGGCTTATTATCCCTATGTCAGGAAAAAGGGTTTCCTTTTATATTAATGACTTAAGATGCTTCTGGCCACCTCACACTTGCTGTTTATACTTACTTACCAGTGGTCTCTGCTCCACTCCACAAAAGCAATAAAYTCAGTACCTGGCACAAAGGAGGGGCTGAAAGAATCAAATGACTGAGAACAGAAATGAAGAAGGTGCAGGTGGAGGAGGCAGGTGGTTCTCAGGTCATGTTCTGCTGAGAMAACTGAAAATTCCTACACTGCCAATAAAGTTGATTAAGAATCTCTACTCCCAACATGTTTACTCCTCCTTTCTCTGCCTCTAAAGGCATTCACTCCCCCTTACCAGCACCAAYTCTCCTGTTACAGAAACCTCTGATGGGAACGTGAAATCCTAGATTAAAATTATTAAATAACCTGTATTTTCAAATCAATTCTTGGGTATTCCTSTAAGTGGTGGAAAGACTAAACCCACTTAATGCCAGATATAAGCCTAACATTGGCTCATGGGATCAGTTTATTACCCACAATGGATTTTTTTTTKATCCATATAATGGGATATTAAGGAAACACTGCTCTCCTGTTTGCTGTGAARATTAATAACCCCATGTTACTGAAGATTGCATTACAAAGGAAAATGGAGCTTTTCAAGCAAAAACACTTGAACTGCATTCCCAACCAYTTCCATAAGCATTCCCACTGACTTCAAACAAAGCAATAATAGGTGAGTGCTGAGTGCACTGGAAACTCCTRTATAAAAGACTGATCAATCTTCAGTAATAAAACATCTGATTCCCAGGTTTTTTTCATCTTTGCACTTAGAAAGAGAGCTTCACTTTCATCATCACATCCTTAGGAGTAACAGCACTTTTTCTTTGAGAAAAAGGTTAAATTTCATGATAGGCTGCAAATGTACCCCTTAATCTAAACTGAAATTGTTCAGAAATAGATGTGGAAACTCAGCATTTGGTATTATGTATTTCTTTTGCCCTACATAATCTTAGCAACAGATTAATAGAAACTCTGGTATTCCCATGTTCTATTAGTTTTATTTTAAAATCAATAGTTCYATTTTGTCAGAAACATCCATAAACAACAGCTGGCAATGATCACAAACTTTAATAGGAAAATGTCAATTGCATTTAAAGAAAAAATGTTGCAGTCAGTGGTAAAGCTGTCAAAGTGGCTGTTTGAAGATACTGTGGTACCTCCAATTTTTTAAAATACTTCAAAACTCAACTGAGCACCTTGATTAAACTTCAGACTTTGCCCTGCTTTGTGCAGGAGGTTGAACTACAGGAATTTTGGAAGTCCTCTCCAACATGATTTACCCTATGATTCTAAAGTTGTTCTACAGAGGCTTTAAAAAGATTATGCAATACACAAGACAAAGAGAAAATCCTTTATATATATCCTGTAGGATATAATATCCGGTAGGATATTAAACCTTTGGTTTCTTATCTGGCCAAATCTCATTATCAGACTGTTACTGAGTGATGAATCTGCAAGATTTGCAACAATTAAATGTTCTACTACTGTATTTCTACACCTTACTGCTTAAAATTTAACTTTACAGGTACATAATGCCATTGGGTGATGACTCACCATAGATGTCACCCTAAACTGCAGATATCAACTCTTTGTGTTTCCAGCCCTGACCTGGGTTTGTGCCATATCCTTCAAAGATCTGGAAGCCCCTCTCTGAATAATGACCTGTGATGTCTAGGAACAACTGAAACAAATATTCAACAGAATTTCTTTTTAAGCCCTGGCAGAACTTATTTTTTTGGTGAAATTGTTAAAAGTATAATGAGTTAAAGMAACAAAAAAGGAAGAACAAATACCAGAATATCTGAAATCACAATTCCTTGTGACTGCTGGGAAGGTGTGGGCACTAATCCTTTGATCACCAAACAGGCTCCTCTTTGCCCTTGTTTCTTTTCTGTGTGCTTCACAGTAAAGAAGGTAAGAGAGTGAGCATGTCACTGCTTTGAGGTGGAATTTGAAATGCTGTACCTACACTCAACAAATGGAAACTCCTGAAGTTTCTTCTTTGCTGTCATRGTTTTACTTGGTCCAATTTTTGGTGKTGGGGGGATGGGACCAAGAAACCACAAAGATGGCTCCTGTGAGRAAGTTCTRGAARCTTTCTCCTTCTTCTCYAGCAAAAGGAGCCCTGCCCCCTGTGTTTTAGAGCCAATCCATTGTGGCTCTGAGGTTGATGGACAGGCTGACCATCAGGCCTGGGCCAATTGCACAGGTTGGTTACACCTCTGTGATGACGTATTGTCCTGTACTTAAGAAGAATTCAAAACAAGATAAGGGCAGCCGCCATGTAGTTTTAGGTTGTTAGTATTTAGTTTTAGTATCATGCACTGGGGAAAAACAGAGCAGGAGGGTGAGGAGATGTAAGAATCAAAAATGGAGACCCAAGATCATAGTAGGAGAAGATGGGATGGGTTGCTGTGCTGTTGCTGTGGTTCTTGAGTATGGAGAAAATAAGTTGTTCTCGAAAGGACTATTTCATCAATGGGAGACCTGTATAGAAAAGGAGAGCGACCTTGCTCTGAGGAAAAAAAAACCCTGGCCTTTGAGAACTGGACTGAACTGATCAGGAGCCAAAAAGGGGGAAGAGGCTTGCCCCCCCCCCCCCACGATGTTTGAAGTGAGTTGATGCTAAGAAGAAAATGAGTTCTGCGGGGAGGAGGAGATGCCCCCGCCCTATGTCTGAAGTAAGTGGATGCTTAGAAGAAGCTGTGTTCTGCCAGGAGGTTTGTGATAGTGGTCTCACGCCGCCGAAACAACGCAGTTTGGCCTTGAAGAACACTTTTTCCTTTCTCCTACGAGGTAAAGAAAATACTCCCTCGCCATCAGCAGTTATACACTGACTGTTTCTTGGGAAAAGAACTTCCACAGCCTGGAGTTGTAAGAACGCTTCTCCTGTGATGATGGACAACAACTGTAATAAGTGGTTTGATCTATGTCAGACTTTCATTCCTGTCCCCTGTGTGTGCTGGAAGACATGGGGGGTGGAGAGGGAGGACCTGGGAAAGAGACGGGTCCGGAAAGGATAACAGGTGTCTTAAAATGTCYGTTTTTATTTTTCTTCTCCTTGTAAATTTTTCCCTATCTTTGTTCCCCTCCCTGGTCCGGTAGTATTCTTAGTAGTTTTTAGTAATAAATCTATTTTGCAACTTAAGTTATTCAGCCTGCCTGACCATTCTCTGGAGCATATAAGTATCTTTCTCTCAATTACATTATGTTATCTGAAAGCCATAAATTTTCCTGTTAATTGGGCTTTTGCTCTCCCTTCTGCCCTCTCCGGTGGGGGGGAGGGAGACAACGTTGTGGGTGCAGTGCTTTTTTTTGGCTTTCAGCACAGTCCAAACCACGACATTTTTGGTGCCGTGACTCGGATTGGGAAAAATCAGGTTTAAACCCACGACACTTGCCAAATCTCGGTGACACKGGGCAGATTTTGGTAAGAAAGATTACCTTGGCTTGTTCTCTGCAATCCGTTTTCCACTGCTGTGCAGAAAGAAACTTCTGTTCCAGTGAATTAAGTYCTGCTAGTTCAGACTCCCTCTGTTCTTGATACTGTTAAAAAGAAAAGTATCAAACAGAGCAGTTAAATATTTTATTTACTTTTTACAATTATTTTACATAGAAGAAACAAATCTGGGATATTTGARTGAGCTCTTATTTAAACATATCCAAACACTGAAAATTTGCTTTTTTTATGAAACATACAATGGAGAAGACTGCAGCAGACTGCAGTATGTTATTTRTCATCACATAACTGAGCTGTATGACAAACATAATGTGACATGTGATTGTAACCTCTCGAACAGTTTCCTGTCATCATCCTGGAGCCAGCTCTAATGAGAGTGTGCAAGATTATTATATTTTTTCCCCTTTTAATTTCTATTATTTTAAGTTCATCTTCTCCCTAGGAGGAAAAAATGTTCTGTGAATATTGTACAAGAAGCGTAGGCAAAAGTAACCATTTCCAAAAGAAAAAAAAATTGTTGCAAATCTTTTTTTTTTTTTCCTTTGTAAACACACAAATATTTATCTATTACCAAWCAGTTTTTGTTTTTCATTCCAATCTTCAGAAAAATAAATATACACACACATATGTAATCAACGTAATCAATTAAGGGATTTATACCAACATTTTCTTGTCACARCTGTAGCAAATATCCTTATGGAGAACACAAAAAATACATTCAATTGAAAGTACAGTGGAAATGGAAAAAAGTAAAAAAAATGGGGCATTTATTCAAATTGGAGAAACACATATCACAAAAGTTTATGTATTTAAATGGATTGAAACAGAAAAATAGCCTCCATATTGTTCCCAACAATAAGTACATAAGGGAAATTCACTCCTATTCTCACACTAAATTACTAATTTTTATAGGCCTTGTCTCAAGTTTAGAAATAGGATTATAGCTTTTCAGTGACTCACCTTTGCCTCAAGTTTTTCCATGTGCTCTTGTTTAAGTCTCTCCCTTTCAAGCCTTTCTGCTTCCTCTTGTTCAGCTAGTGCTGCAAGTAGAGCTGAGGATTGGGAAAGAGATCAAGAGTCTATCTATGCTCTCCTAAATAAAATCTAAAAAATGATTGGTTATTAGCTGTAATGACAAAACAACCATAAAAAAGAGCAACATAAATATTTATCTTTCACTGCACAGAAATCTCCAACATGATGATTARTCCAAATTAAKTGGAATTTTACTTAAACACACTATTTACACACTACCCTATGAGTCTGTGAGGATAAAAGTGGAGACATGGACCAGCAAGTGCAGCAGCAGGAGTGTTCTCTCCTTCTGCCTACAGCTGCAATGGACACAGATTCTCAATCCAAAGTCTTTGGTGAAACTCAGTGCTTTAGTCCCAAATTACTCTTCTCCTTTCCTACGACCACTGGTTTCCTGCAACTTCAATTTTACAGCTGTCTGTTCACTGAAATCTTCTCCAGGATCTGGTACTCCAAAGTTCTGAGTTCTCTTTGCTGCCATAGGGACTAGAAAATTAGAGAGGATGTGAAAACTAAATTGATTCCTCCTCCAAATCTTCAGTCTAAGATGGCAYAGCCTGTGCCTCAACCCAGATGCTCCCAAACAGTGACCTGAATGTCATCACCAACAAGTAAATCATGTCAAGTGTGTGCTGCAGTGAGGCAAGAGCAGCAGCAGTTCCCAAATCTGCCTGTGCTCACCTGACCCGCTACTCCGCCACAAAGCTTACCAGTGATCTGCAGTTACTTACTGGCAGCCACAGCGTGCCTAAGCCTCCACAAGGATGGATTAATTCTTCCTAACTTTCTAATTGCAGTAGAAATAACCAGAGAGGAGCATATTGCTCTGATAGAAAAGGGAGATGCAGCATCAAGGAACAGGGAATTTGGCCCACACCAGAAAAGAGGGAGGAACCACTTGTGTTTGTGAAACAGAGATAGCAAGTCACATCTAGTTCAAGAAGTTACTTTCTGTGCATTTATTTAAAATAAATTATTTGTCCATCATATTTCCTAAAATGACGTGCACAATACCTTTGTCTTTCTTCCCTTCTTTTTTCTTCGGTTTTTCATCTTCCTTTTTGCCACCAGGCTTCATGTTTGCAATAAGGGAGAAGAAAACAAATGTATTATTTTAAYACACTTTGGTAGTTCTATAACTCTCTAACTTTGCCCTTCTAATGTGATCCCTGAATTAAAGACGCTCTACACAGCCAAAGAAGTCCCCAGAACAGTAATGCACATCCTGGACCCAATTTCCTTCTCATTTTCATAATATGCTCCTATAATTAATATTTTATTCTATGCTAGGCTTTCCCAAACAGCCACAACAGAAGAGTACTAAAATCTTTTGGTTTAATGTASAAATTGAATAACAGGCAGATCTGCTATGAAAGTATATGCTACAACTTCAAACATYTTAGGAAATACTGGAAAATGTATTTTGGGACAAGCCTGGCATTTAGAAACATCTRATTCACAAGACAAATAACAAAAAGTTTTCTCTTCTGTTATGAAATCCTCTCTGCAACTCCAGACAGTTCACTGTCCAATGTCCAGCCTAATCCCAGAATATCTGTATTTTAAATTTGGAGTTCTCACAAATTACCTTATTCTTTGCAGTCTGAGTATGCAGTTTAAAAGAGTAAAAGGTAAATAAYATGCAAAATCTACTCTCATGTAACAGATGAGCCAAAACAGAACACTTATGTTTTCCTGTAATCCACAGCATTCATAGATTTCTTACTGCTAACACACAAAAACRTAGTGATTAAATTAATTCCCAGTCAACACTATTGTTTATTAGTGGGACAAATAAGGTGGCCTTTCTTTTTGTACAYATGAGAAAATAAACCATAATATTCTGCATTGTTTCCCCTGGATGCCAAAGACTGACAGCAACCTAAACTGAAGGTGAATGATAAAGTACAGCAAGGAAAACAAACAGCCTGCTTTTGGTGGTGGAGCAATGTACTGATACACACAAACAAAGCTCAAATTAAATTATATTAAATATTTACTGGTTTAAGACATAGAAAATACAGAATGTGAAAGGAGGAGGACACACATACTCTTGCATCTAACCTGGAAGCTGCATACCAGAAAGCTGAACCTCAAAGCCCCATGTCATTACTGGTCCTTCCTCACACACAAAGTGTGTCACAAATACTTCRATTTCATACTTCGATTCTATCACATTTTCAGATATAAGTAACTCCTAGTTCACTTCACATTACTTTGCATGGCAAAAAATAAACACCTAAATGCAACTTTGAATGCAGAAGTTACCATGAAGCTGGGACAAGCACAGTGGTGACAGTTAAGTGACAACAACACACATGCACCCACCAAAACTCAAGTGCATCTTAATGCATTTGTTACCAAAGCATTCATTTGCAAAATTATCCTAAAACCGAGTCAGTAAAACCCACAATTCTACCCATTAGGATTTCAGGGAAGAGTGTTATTTTTGCCTCAATAAATAAATAAACACATAAGTAAGTCTTTGATTACTTTTCTTTTACTGAAAATAGAAAATCTGCTTGTTTCAGTTACTTGCAATCAGTTTTAGTCGACTTCTTCTCACATACCTATGACTTAGCATTGAGAAGGTCAAGATGCACAGCTGGGAGAGGTAGATAAATTCATTATCACTGAAAGAATAATCCACGGCATAAATTTATGCAACCCAGTTTCCCATGGACTTCTGCCTGTTAGCCCTTCATCCACCATAATCTGTATCCAACCTATGGCTCCAGTAACAGAATCCCAAAATTATGAAGGTTGGAAAAGACCTCCAAGATCATCAAGCCCAAGCTGCGCCTGATGCTCCCAGAGCACTGACTGCCACATCCAGTCCCTCCTTGGACACTTCCAGGGATGGGGACTCCAAACCTTCACGGGCAGCCCCTGCCAATGCTTGACAAACCTTTCCATGATGAAATTCCTGCTGATGTCCAACCTGAACCTCCCCTGCMACGGACTGAGGCTGTTCCATCTCATCTTGTCCCTTGTTCCCTGGAGCAGAGCCTGATCCCCCTGGCTGCCTGCTCCTTTCAGGGAGCTGTGCAGAGCCAGAAGGTCCCCCCAGAGCCTCCTTTTCTCCAGGCTGAGCCTCCCCAGCTCCCTCAGCCCCTCCTGGTGCTCCAGACCCTTCCCCAGCTCCGTTCCCTCCTCTGGACACGCTCCAGCCCCTCAATGTCCTCAGTCTGGCAGGGAGGGGCCCAGAGCTGGACACAGAATTTGAGGTGTGGCCTCAGCAGTGCCCAGCACAGGRGACAGTCACTGCCYTGGCCCTGCTGTCACCCCATGCCTGGACAGAGCCGGGACACCGCCTCTCTGCCTGGACACCGTTGCTAAGCCAAACAAGCAGGGCTGAACCAGCCACCCTCTGCCCAGCAGTGCCGCAGGAACATTACTGGGCCTCCAGTGGCACAAAAGCTCAGTGTCCTGGAGACACGTCTTCCTCCTTCAAATTCAACTAACTCTGATCAGCTGTCTCAGGAAAAAGACAAAAWATCAGATTAAAAAAATAAACACAACAGTGAACTACAGCATGTTTCTACCCACCTACCTTTTTTGCTGGCTTTGGACCCTAAAAAATCAGATGGGAAAAAAAAAGAAAGTGACCATCAGACAACAGGGTATCAACTAGAAGGGAATAATTAGAAAAATACAACCATACTGTTAAAATTAGATGTGATCTTCTATTRAAAAACTATAATGACAATGATTTCCATATTGTAGAAAACTAGCCACTAACACATGACTGGACCATCCTAATCTATCACACCACACTTAYTATAGAAGAGCATCTACTTATTCTGTTAAAAAAACTAATGTACGTGAAATACGTCATTCAGTGTGGGACATTTGGTAATTTTCTTTTTCAGTGTTTTCTGAGCTCATCAGCTGTGTGATATTCCAAATAAGATTAAATTACATCACACGACCTAGAACACCACTGAAACACCACCAACTTCTCTGTCATTCGTGGGGAAACTGCATTTGGAGAAACATAAATAGGGAATTTCTCCAAACCACAATATGAAATAAAAACCGATTCCAGAAAGCCAAATAGTCAGCAGAGAATCCTTTCTTAACTCATTATTTTTTCCATGCAACGCCTAAATACTGCCATGCACATTTGCACAAATGCAGCGATTAACGACCCCCGCGAGAACATTCCCTGCGGGGCGGAGAAGGAGGAAGGAGAAGGAAGGCTGAGAATGAAGTTTGTTACCACAGAGCCATTCTGGCAACACAGTCCCGAGCCACCTCCCACCTGCCTCCTCACAGAGTAACCACAGCAACAAACCACGCTACAAGGAGTTAGAGCTGGGCTCACATAAAAGATAACGCATCCTTCAGGTGCTTGTTTCRGTCATAAAGCCTTCTTTCCACCTACTGCTACTTTAGCAGCTAACAAGCGTCTACCCTTATCCATTGCACCACCCGATCCTTCTCCGCTTTACTGCGCTACCTGATCCTTCCCCATCGCACCATCCTTGCCCTCTCCGCCATCCCACCCCGTGCCTACGACTCTCCCTCACCGCACCATGTCACGCAGCGGTC